TGGTTCGTCCGGAAACTGCACAGTAAACAGTCCATGTTGTGCGTGGCCGAACAATAGACATCCGTTCCGGTTCCGCTGGTAGTTCCACCAAGTTTCATGGCGGGCATTCAGGTCGCCCCAACGATGAATCGGGAGCTAGTACGGGTGATGACGGTCAGGACGTTCTTGAATTTGCTTGCTAATCCGTTGTTGGCGGTACACTGCCGAGGGCAGTAAACAGCGATGAACTGGACATTTTCAGTTAGTGATTCGTCCTACAAACTAAGAGCCTCAATGATAGAAGTGCAGATGTGAGGCAGTGTATAGTACTTAATTCCTTTTTTGACTACGAGCTCTACACCACCAGGGTAGCGATCAAGCCGGATAATGTTGTGGCTAGGGGCACACAATAACTTTTAACTCCAACGCAGGCAACGGCTGTAGTTAAATTAATTCCATTAACTACTGCTTTAATTACATAAATTACACAATGTAGATCATTAACTACTTTTTAACTCCTTTAATTACAGTTGAAATTTCGTAATTAAAGTATAAATTATAATTACAAGTATAATAACATTTTCAATATTTTTAATTACATTAATTACGGATAGATAATTTTAATTACCGTCAGTACTACTTCAAAACGCATTAATTACATTAAGTACTTTTGATTGCATTTTAACTTCAACTCACCGGTTCTTTGTGTTGCGTGCCCCTCGTGTTGTGGTCAGCAGCCAGAAGTTGTCGCCGGACTTGAGGTGGGTATCGGTTAGAAGCTGGGGGGGGACGTGCTGTCAAATCAGCCTACTGATCATTCTTGTATGAAACTGTTTCCAAACGTAAACAAACGCTGTAGGTTTCTTATGGCTTGTTTACGTTTGGAACCAGTTATGCGAGGTAGGCGACGATTGTTCGTATTTGACAGCCATCCCCCCCCCCTTCCCCTTGGTTAGAAGGCCCATGTCGGGAGCGGTGCCGGTGGTGTAGTGGTAAGCGTGATTACCTTTCACCCCAGCAGGACTGGGTTCAATCCTGGCGGGATCTTATGAGGCATAACATCTTTGATCACGTCTTCCTTCAGAAGGGAAGTAAAGCCGTTGGTCCCCGGTTCATGAGTTGATGGATCGATAGGTAGGGTCCATGGGTGGGAGCTGCCTCCCTGGTAGGATTGGTGCTCAGCACGGAAAACAAATCAAGCAAAAAAAAAAGCCCACGTCGATGCTGTGCTTGCGGTTCAGAAAGTCAGCAAGGTTAATGTTTTTTTGTTCTTACAGATCAAGCATTCCAGGTGACGATGGTTTGCGGTTTAGACACGATAATGGATGATGAATTTACTGAGGACTTATATCTGCTCGGGCTTATTGCAGCACTTATGAAGATCTCCACCGGTCATGTTGACGAAGATTTCCATTAGTTCATCCGCTGAGAACAGATCGAGGTTGTTGGTGTTCGGGGTTCGCTTGGCTTTGCTGGGGAGCACGAAGAGGCGGGAAATCCTCCGTCCCGAATGTCGAGGTTTTTTCCATCTTGCGTCCTGGTTGATTGTTGGTTACCACTTGCTTTCGGATGCGTTTGAAGTCCTCGCGTTTGGAGCAATGTCTGTCGGAACCTTGATGCGCACCACCACAGTTGGCACATTTTAGCGCCACGGCGCCACGGCTTCATCCGCAGGGCAGTCTGAAGTGGCGTGTTCTTGAGCGCGGTTGGTGCAGCGTGGCTTGATGTTACAGTACCGTGTCCAAAGTTGAGGCACCACTGGCACTTTATTACGTCACGATGGCCACCACGGTATGGCTCCCACAGTACGATGATGGAGTAGATTGAGCGGATGGCTTGCAGCGCATTCAGCGTCACCGTCCCTTCCTGGAAGTGCACCAGGAAAAGGCAATCTGGGTACGCCTTCATCTCTCCCCGTCATCCGGAAGACAGCGATTGGGCCAGCTTGTACCGGTCCTTGATTTCAGCTTCGATCATCTTGGGGTCGAAGTTTGGTAGGCCCCTGATGACTACCTCTCACCGGGGATGTCATGCGTGAAAAATTCCGTCTTGGAATCTTTAAGGTGCTTCACGGCCACTTCATACTCCGCTTTTGTACGGAGCATACCCTTGGTGCCGATCCTGTTGAGCTTGTACTCAACTGCGACGCCCAGCGATGTAAAATCACCAATGAGGGTGTTGAGTGGCACCTTCATTACCACCAGTTGGTGAAGCTTCATTGTTGCCGCACTCGGGCCGGCAGAATTCTCGTTGTTGACGGCGTTGCCGAAATCACCGATGTCACTTACGTTCGTCGCGGTGGCATCGTCACGTCCACTCGCAGCATCGGACTGTCCCTGATGTTTCTTCCTCTTTTTCTTCCGCTTCACCGTGATATTCCCAACAACGGTGGGAAGAGTAGCGTACCTATTCGAAATAGGTACCCTCGAGCTACCCTAACCGCTGGTCTTCTTCTCCCCTTTCTCTCGGAGCCTGCTTCGGGAGCGCTGTCTTCCCATCACACGAAGCAACCGACACTACTGACGACGCGTTCAACGCGCCATAAAGCTGCAAACGTTTGAAACAAACTAGAAACCTTCAAACAACTGAACAGAGCGAACAAAACCGAACTGTACTGCTTGACGGTCAAGCAAAGAAAGAGATCTAATGAGCAGAGGCACGACAGCAGCGCTGTTTTATATCTTTTTAGGTTCAAGCAAAACGATATGCAACCAAGTGATACTCGATTATGACAACTGGGTTTGGGAAAAACGTTTATTTCATGAAAGCAGCGATAAAATGATCGTTTGTACATTTTTTAAAAGTTTTTTTTTTATGGAAATGTATTTCAGCAGATTGGTAAAGTAATATCCTATCGATTGGCGTATTTGGATTTAATTTCATCTATAAAAGATAAAATAACAAGCGTTAAAAACCTAACACTATTTCACCATACATATATTTTGATTTGCACCCCAGTATAGTCGACAAAGACGTAGTTCTACGTCAAAAATAACAAAGGGTAGGAATGGAGGTGAAATCCAGCATATCCACACCGGTTGTAACTAATCAACTCGATGTCACTGGAGTCACTTTAAAACTAACAAGCATAAATAGAAAGTTGAAAAAAGGGAAGTTTCGATTTCAGCACGGCTTAGATAAATTTTGACGTGAATTTTTGTAACGTGATAGTTTATAAACCTACCCAATTGATATTCAAATAACTGCAATACTATGGGTAAAGCATGATACATGGTTCAAAATTCAAGCATAATATTATTGCTGAAGTAATTATTGCATGGCAATTTCATTAATTGTTTCTTAAATCGAAACCTATCAGCTAGGGGAAATGGCTCTAATGTTTTCCTATAGATCTAAGATTGGCCCCATCGCTAAAAATCTGCTATTTATCAATTTTTATCTAGATAAACGCGTGATTGGGACGGTACTGATGGATATTTTTGGTCGCTATTGAAAATTTAGTCGATTGCTGAATTTATGTATGGGCCCAAATTAGGGGCATTTAGGCTGACATTACATCACTATCAAGAAAACTGGTAGTTCTGCCAGCATTTAGGTGACAAATACAAAAGCGCTGCGCTTGAATAACGGTGAAACCACCGGAAAGAAAAATGAGCAAATACGCAAACCTTTTTGAGGTTGGCATCTCACGTATCAAATTTGATCGGAACTTTAATCTTTTAGCGATAGATGATGAAATTTTGCCTGCTTTTCGGTATTTGTATAAGCAAGTTTAAGATTTTCTAGATTTTTTGATCTGATTTTTATTGATCTGATATAAGACACTGTCTTCTTATGCATTAAACATTTATATTTTTTGTAAAGTTAAACAGACACACGCCTAATTTATTCAAAATAGAATAATTCATTGCAAACTTCAGATAACCTGAGAAGACTGCGTGCTTTATCTTTAGTAGAGAACATGCAATACAGTGAAATTAGCCATTTATGAAGCTACAAGTTTTAGTTATTTTCTCACAGATGGAAATCCCCTCCGAGATAGTCAAGCAGTTTTTCCAGTATGGGAAAAATCGTTAATTCATTCATTTCACACTTATCTGTAAAACGAGTACTACCATCCAGCTATCCATTGAACGTTATCATCGACAAAAAGGAGGGGTAACGTGGGACAAGATCAGTCATGGTGCAAGAGAGGTAATTTTTTTTGTTTTTTTTTTATTATTTATGTCAACAGGCTCAATGTAGATCCAATGTTGTTTCGAAAAACCAAATCATCATTTGGATTTGATTTTGACAAACATATACATTATTAAATCTACTAGCTGACCTATCTTGCCCTTGACCCATCTTGGCCTACCTTATCTGGACTAGGAACAGAATTATTAAAAGTCCATTGAGTTCTGTACAGCAATAGTTCTATGTAGAACCCGAAATTGGAAGCGTTTTATTGTTCACAGTAACAATTAACCATCTCTAACGTTCGCAAACGAAGTTTTCTAAAAAAAATTGTGAAATATGATTGTTTTATTCAGATGTTTGGTTCAATAGATCAGTAATAAATATAAGATTTTACAAAACGACGAGTGATATAATTGAAATGTTAAAAGAGCGAACCATGATAAAATCGAAATTCCATTATATCTGTCCAATAAAAATCTGTCATAAAAATGTCAAGCCTTAACTAACATGCATTTTTATTTTCTTTTTAGAGTGACTTTCAGCCAGCGGCTGGTTTGTCACTTTAACATACATTATGATATTTGGTCAACTCGATTTGCTCATGTTGTATTGAAAATGAAAATCCTAAAAAGACAGCTATGTGTAAAACTTCATCATGGAACAATTGGACTTGATGTTTCTGGTTTTGTATATCACCCAGAGCAAATTAAATGCATCCCGCTGCGCTGCTAGGTAGATTGATAATGGGTTTCCGCCTTTTAATGTTCGCAAATTTATTGAATGGTGACATCGATAATAATGCTTTCGCGAGGGCTGAAGAAATTTAATTGACAATATCGATCACCAACGGTAGAATAATTAATTTGTTTCCATGGTTTCAGATGGAATTGGACCGCAGGCCAAATATCCGGTTATCGTGTACATACACGGCGAATCATACGAATGGAACAGCGGAAATCCATATGATGGATCAATTCTGGCCAGTTATGGGAGGGTTATCGTGGTAACGCTTAATTTTCGGCTCGGAATTCTCGGTAAATGGTGTTTGTGACTTTCAATAGAGATGATCATTGATTAATATTTATGTTTTGATTATCTGTTTACAGGTTTCATGAAACCAGGCATTAGTGACCACACTACCAGCAATTTCGGTCTACTGGATCAGATAGCTGCACTTCAATGGATCAAGGAAAACATTGGCTCGTTCGGCGGAGACAACAAGCTGGTGACGGTGATGGGCCATGGAACGGGTGCTGCTTGCGTAAATTTTTTGATGGTTTCACCTGTTGCCAAGGGACTTTTCCATAGAGCAATTCTCCTCTCAGGTTCGGCATTATCTGACTGGGCCCTAACTCAGCACCCTCTGCAATCTACCATGCAGGTACTGCAGGGGCTCAATTGTCCACTAAACGGAGATAACGATGAAGTTACAGCTTGTCTACGGCGAAAGCGTTATAGTGAAATACTGAACGTGAAAATTGCTTCACCACAATTTTCAACTCGTTTTGGACCTATTGTAGATGGATTGGTAATTCCAAACACTCCGCACAAGGTGATGGGCCAGTATAGCGACATATTTAGTGGGTAATTTCCATGATTCATGAGTGTATGCTCTTTCGATGAGTTCAGAACGATAATTTTGTCATGCTTCACTACAGGTACGACCTACTTTACGGGATGACAGAGTTGGAATCGTACAACATCCTAAATGCCGTCGCCCTGTCGTACGGGTTGCTCGAAAACGAGAGGGACAATCTGCTGCGGTTCTACATGCAAAATCGTTTCGAGATCCGTCCAGATTTGGCACTTGCCGCAACGCTCAATGAGTAAGTTTATTCACCACACAATTTGCAATAAATTCAATAACCACCCACCGCTCGTTGCTGGTGTTATCATTTCATTCCACCTGCAGGTACACCGGTATACTTACTGATCCGAACAAATCCCTGGCAGACATCCATCGCGACACTCTGCTGGACATTTTATCTGATGCCCGTGTTGCCGCTCCGATGGTTCAGACTGGACTCTATTTAGCCAAAGTCAACCCCAAATGCTATATGTACGTATTTGGACACAACAGCGAAGCCGGCGAGTACGGACGAGTAAGTAGTATGGTAAAAATTTACTTCGGTCTATCAAGCAGAAAACATCAAATATATCTGTGACTTCGGCGTTAACCATTCAATTATACGCTTGGTACGACACTTTAGTTCAAAAGCTACAGCATAAAACCATTAAGAGCGCGAAGTACCTATGAATATTTACACTCTTTGTTCTCAAACATAAAAGAAGCACTCCAAGCGAATCAATTTTTCCATGCCATTTTTGCCTTCATCCGTATGGCGAAGTAAAGTACATAGTAATGACGTTCCTATGTGTTAGTAGGGATTTGAAACCCATAGGCTGAGTTTGGAATCAAGAAGCGGTGTTGTATTTTTAACAAAATATACGCAATCTGTAATTCTTTGTCAAATCCATCGGGGAAAGGTAAATAAATTTAGAAGTCATGTGATGTAGAAACATTTCGTTTGGTGTAAAAATCTGAAAATAAAATTTATCAAGAGGATGCATGTTTATTTTTTTTTATAAACTACGGTTAAATAAAAACTCTCAAAGATGTTATTCAATCAAATTGCGTCAAGTCAACTTGTTTTGGGAAAAAAATGTCCGTGGCCAATAATATGACATTGAGAATACCTATTATTTCAATGGTTAAAATATAAATTTGAGTATATTTATTTAATAACAAAGATTGGAACCTCGATGTGAGAGCCTTAAAAGCTTAGTCATTTTGAACAAGCAATGATCGTTTGTTCATGCTTTTTGTAATTAAATCACATAGCATCCGGACTACATTTATGAAAAATTGTTTTGAGATCCCTTACCCATATGTTTTCAAGATGTTTTAACTAAAAAAATTGAATTCTTTGTTAGCATAAATTTTTCAAATGCAAACTTTAATTTAAGTCAATGAAATTCGATCAATTGTCATAATTCTAAGACTAAGATAAAATTACAAGATCCTTCCTAGACCGTAATTTCAATAAAATAAAACGATGAAGTACAATCAATATTTTTCAATAAAAAAAGTTGCATTTTTAATGCTGGCGTTTTAAGCAAAAAAAAAACCTGCATTCGCAACCGAAACTGAACTGAAATCCCAATCCCTACGTGCCCACATAATCACAACACAACACATGTAACATGAGTTGATGTTAAATTAATTAAAACCTGGCGACGATGCCGATGAACTGTCACGCAAAACGAAGTATCAGTAGAAAAACGGTAGTAAAGAAGCCATTCACATGGAATGACCTCCTCGGAAAAATGCAGCATGATTTCCGATTCCGACCGAGATCGTTGACATGTTATATTTCACTGCCGATATCACTAGTACTCAGAAATTAATTATGAAAAGATTAAAAAGAACTAAATGGATCGAACTCCCTAAATCTGGCCTAGTGATCCTAAAAACTGTCTTGATGTGTTGGAGGAAAAGTTCCAATTGTAAATGGTTCGCTTCACGGGGACGGACATGAACTAATCCGGTTTGTGGTAGAGCTTGCATGAAATTTCCCTAAATTAGAAATACAATCCGGATACTGTGGAATTATATTCAAGATTTACAATTCTCTATTCTTCATCAAAATCAGTTTATGTTTCAAGTAATTTTACAAATGGCTTTAAAGTAAATAGAACATCAATAAAAATCCAGAAAAACGCAAATTCCTAAAAAAAATTACGGAGGAAAATTGATCGCTTCCGTCCACAAGCACAGCACTTATCGATCTCATCATATTTTTTTAAGTTTGAAACATGTACTTTTAATGTAAAGGTTGAAAATTTCATCAAGTGTGGGATTTTTAAAAAGATTAGTAAACTCAGGATCTTATCTTTTGTTTGTCCATGTCCTAAGATCTCGCAAATTCGTTGAAAACTTGTCTAGGTGTTCATGAATAAAAACTCTGTCGGAGTTCTGCGATGATTCTAGAGTGATTCTTGAGAAAATTCAACGAGTTAAGGTTTCCTCGGGAAATAATTAGAAAAATCAGGCACAGAAAATTCTGAATGATCTGAAGCAACTAAACGTTCTTGAATTTCTTCAGCTTCTCTAAATTTCGTTCAATTTCCCCTCTATTTATAGTTACATTACCATTTTTTTTTTAATATACTAGCATCGAAGAAAACAATATTATGTTTATTTACAAATTCAAGCTGACCGGTGATCCAAGAAACCGCGAAATTTGAATTTAAATGTAAAATCTAATTATCTCTCCAGAAAAGACAATATTTGGAACTTTGAAAAAGAGGACCCTTTGAATGGACTCAATTTTCAGGATATTGTCACTTTGATGGACCAAACATGAGAATTGTTAATGAGATTTTAATAAATTCTACGCACAACATCAAACTGTTAGAAAAAATCCAAGGGAGGTATGGAAAGAACTCTAAGAGAGTTTACAACTCCAAGTCGGTTGTACGAAGAGTTCCAATGTAATTGTGAAAAGAGCTTCAGGAGAATTTTAAGGTGAGTTCGGAGTTGAATATGTTAGCTGTTCTGAGGATACTGTCAAATCAACTGTGAACAGGATTTCTAGTCCATAAATATTCGAAATAAGTCTTAGAAAAGTTTTAAGAGAGTTTTGTTGATAATTCTAAGGAAATTCCGAGCAAATCCAATTCCAAAAACTATCTTTCAATTGAATTCTGAAGGAAGTTTTAAAGGAAGTCTGAGACTAATTCCACGGGAACCGAATTTTTATGGTACAATGTCAATGATATTCTCATACGAGAAGATTTTTCAGGGAGTTCCGAGGATAATATAGTAAATTATGAGCATAATTTTCAGACCTCTCATCATTCGATCATTTTTCCATTCGTCCTTTTTTCAATTCGACTTCTTGTCCCCCTTTTCATCATTCGACCTTTTGTCCCCCTTCTTATCATTTGACCTTTTGTTCATTCGATGAGCTGAAGAGCTGTTCCAAAGAATCAGTTCGCCTTAGTGAGCTGAACGGGTAAGATCCGCACAGAATGATGAACTATTTTGTCCACCTCATTTTTGAACCATTCGACCTTTTGTCCCTTTTTGAACCATTTGACCATTTTTCCATTCGACCTTTTGTTCATTCCACATTTTGACCCCCAGTAAACACATAAATCTGTGTAAAATAAGGAGACGTGCATTGAGCTTAAGGTAAGAGGGGACGTCATTAATTTAAAAAAAAGTAAAGCAGTTTTTTTGTTCAAAATAAAAATTAAGATCATGAACATGTGTTCATTGCATTCTACTTCTCTACTGGAACACATTTTCATTGACAGAATTTAGGTTTTACACGGATTTTTTTGTTTAAAATAAAAATTAAGTTCATGAACATGTGTTCATTGCATTCTACTTCTCTACTGGAACACATTTTCATTGACAGAATTTAGGTTTTAAACGTAAAAACTGCTCTTGAATTTCCAAAAATTATGACGTCCCCTTTCCCTTTAAGCTGTGACCTTATGCTAATGAAAAATGTGCGCTCATGAAGAAAGTGCTTACATTCCAAAGTTAAACAATATTTAAAGTTTGAGTGAAGAATAATATTGTCAACTTCCTTGCTACGGAACTAACATTCAAAATGTTGTTTATGTTTACATTGATTTTGGAACTGGAATTAGTTTTGAGCTCACAATGACAAAAATGTACATTGAGGCAAAAAAACGTAAGAATTTAATAAGGCTCGACTTATGAACGACACACATGAATTTCATCCGCGTGACTTATGAATGATTTTCGTCAAAAATTGAGCAAGCTCTTTAAGGCCTTCAACTAACTAGTGCCATCCCAAGTAACATTGCAAGTTTTATAGTGGTTTTAAAGCATGCTACAGGTCTAAATCGTGGTCTACATAACCCTCTTAAAACCAAAATTGTTACTAGGGATGGATCGGTTCCAGTTTGGACAATTTTATATTTTTTTTTGTCAACATTATTTTTCATAATGAATTAATACCGATCTCATGTGGCTAAAAATCATAGGTGGTTTTAACGTAATTCTAGCATTCTTTTGCCTCAGCGTAGAAAAATTAAAGTGTTTCTTAGATACAAGATTAATTTGTTTTTCTAATTTTGACAAAAAAAAAATCCAGAAAATGAGAAAAAAATTATGTGTCAAAAATATTCTTGTTTATTATTTATGATTGATTTTATAAAAAAAAGGCATTTTTCAAATGCAAACTTTTGAATCGTTGAAAACCTTGGATGCTTAAAATTTGACAAAAATCATAGATCATCAACTTTTAGTTAAATTTTTAAGCTTCATGTTTGTAAATTTAACTCAAAGTTGTTGTATTTGTAATTTTTTTTTAAAGTTTATATTTTTATAAGCATTTTTGATTAAAGAAATCAATAAAATATAACAAGAATATTTTTTGTAATTTTATTTTTAAAACACTTTTTTGGATTGTATTGTCCAAGTTACTAAAACAAATAACCGTGTTTATTGTTCTAGATAGTCTTAACTTTTCCCTACAACTTCATCCCAGGCGCCATTTTAATTCAAACATATTGAACAAAGGCATTTTTTGCTAAGGGACTTTACGTATTCTCTATTAGCAATTTAGCAGCGTCACGCAGACGTCATATGTGTGTGTTTGTTTACATTAACCTGCTGCAATTCTAACCATTCCAATCGACATAATTGTCCACAACGTTTTGTAAACGTTTTTCAACGATCCAAATTTCTCAGGTGAGTGTGATTATTGTCAGCAGCCTCTTTTTCTTCCGCAACCTTTCCATTTCAACTGCATGTCAACCAGCTCTTCTATTATCAGCGTCTCAAAATCAGCCATATTTGGTAAAGCGTATACACTGGAGTCGCTTTTTACGCGGTTTTTTTTTTACACGGTTTTTTTACGTGGTTTTTTTTTACGTGGATTTCGGAATTTACGCGGTTTTTTTTACGTGGATTCCGGAATTTACTCGGTTTTTTTTTACGCGGATTTTGGTTTTTTTTTACGCGGTTTTCAGAATTGACGCGGTATATCGCTTTTTACGCGGTTTTTTCTTACACGGTCTTTTTTTACGCGGTTTTTTTACGCGGATTCCGGAATTTACGCGGTTTTTTTTACGCGGTTTTTTTTACGCGGGACGTATCACCCGCGTAAAAAGCGACTCGAGTGTATTTCATTTGAACAACAACCTGACTTGACAAGTTTTCTCAGTAGTAAAATTGTAATCAGATTGAAGCTGAAAGACTAAGGAATCGTGTTTTGATGAGAAAATACTGCGAAATTATCGTTTAAATTTTGGTTGCCGAAAACAGTCAATGGGTGCCGATTTAATTTTGTATCACTTTTTTGACAAAATTACTTTAAAAAATTACCGTGCATATTTTTTCTTGAGATACTTTATTTAACTCAACAACTTTGTTTGAAACGTAATTTCGATAAGAAGTGTAAAATATGCAACGTTTCATTCAAATTGAAGAAGGTCTCATTCTTTTAAATCGCTCAATATTTTCTCAAATCATCATCTTAAACCTTTTTTTTCATTTTATCTATTTGAACAGCTCTCACAAAGCGTTGTCGGTGAGGATTTGGCGTACATATTTGGAGCTCCCCTGGGGCCAGTTGGGCCTTTCCAAACCCACTACAATGCAAGGGAACGGCTTTTCTCCGAAGCCGTCATGAAGTACTTTTCCAATTTCGCTCAAACTGGGTAAGGTTGATATGCTGCTTCAAAGTGTGCTCCATGGATTTTCATACCTTGTTCTCTTCTTTCAGAAACCCGAAGGCACCATGGAAGGATCTCTTTCTCAACATGAACCCGGAAGAATGGCGGTACTATGACGTTGATTGGCCTGAATTTAACAGTGTGAATCAAAGTTTTCTGCATCTCGCGATGACGCCGGTTGTGAGCCGGCATTACCGCCAGCAATACACAAAATTTTGGAACCAAAAACTTCCGGAGGAGTTGAAGAGAATAACCACGTCAAAACCATATTCACCGTACTCGGAATTCATCAGCCCACCGGACCGGCGCATGACAACTTCCAGCCCCGAGTTTATTACGGGTCACATAAATCTTTTTCCAATAAAAGTCGATATTGAAAAACCAACAGAGGACTCTTTCAAAGCATTGGTACATCGAATGAAGGATGCTCATGTTGGGGGACCGGGGATGTACAACGCAGCTGCTTCTTCGGGTGGTATTCCCGCTGAAGCTCCGATGAAAGAAAAACCTAAACCTGAAAATGTCGAAAAAGATATGGAAAACTCGGAAATGATGAAAACCGAAGCATCCCTAACGCTGCTGATAGCCGTGGCAATTGTTTTTCTGCTGTTTAATATTTTTGTCATTGTCGGATACATAATAAAACGGAACGTTGGAAATAGAAAAATGAAACGAAAATTCGACGACAACATCCTGGAGAGCGCTGCTTCGATGAACGATAAACGATCGAAATTGAACGACACTGAAGAGAGCTATATTTTAGACATGATGCGAAAGTCAAATCCATACGAGCCGGTGGTGAAAGCGAACAATTTCACATTGCCACGACAGTTCAGCGGCGAAACCATGGACCCACACACAAAAGTGTGCGATTGGATATCCCAAGACTATGGAACAGTTTGTACGAAACAAATTGAATGCGATGGAGGTGGGTCTTGCGATAAAGATAATATTCCTATACCACATAAGGTAAGCGTGGCAATAGATGCCACCCCCCAGGCTCGAAGCAACAGCATTTTGCGACAAGAGCCAATCGAGATTACCAAAGCGAAATCATTTGAGTGCGCTTCTCCGGACGACTATAGTGAAAGCGTCAGCCAAGATTCACCGTGCGATTCCGAAACACGACAGCAGTGCTCCAGTTCAGGATCTTCTTATTCATATAACGATTGTGACTATAAAATCGTACACAAGTATAATATCAAATCCGATTCGAACCCAATTTACAATAATTACCCGTATCAAATCGAAGAAATTACTAGTTTTATTGAATCAGGTGACATAAATGTTACGTCTCGAGAAAAGAGTGAGGAGAAAGATCCTCTCTCCCCAGAAGAAGCATTGAAAGTTATACAGCGAAGAAACTTTCCCAAAGTTCTACCAGACTATCCGAATGGAGTCGCGGGTATTACAGCTTCAATGAAGCGACGGTCTTTGCCACCGCAGGCCTTCATGCTCACCAGTTCGAACAGCTTGCGACGAGATAGCGCTCGTCTTGTTCCAGCCCCACCTCCACGGATTTCATCTACTTTGGGTCGACGCTCTTCAAAAAATAGAGCAAGCAATAATTTCCTAAGTTCACCACCTGTAATGGCTGAAGAACCACCAATCGAGGAAGAGCCTCCAATCACACTTAACACGTTACACGTTGGGCCACTACTTCCCAAACACCAGGAAAACACATATATGACTATGTCTCGGCAAAACTCCACAGAAGCCGAACAGACCACACCAACGGAAGAACCAGCAGTTGATATAATTTGTATAGAACATAAACCAGAAAGCCATTACAGCTACATCAAACCACCATGTATGATAAAACCCCCTTCGTCATTCAAGTCTTCCCCAGCGAAAGAGTTGAACCGAACGGAAAACAAAGCAGAACTTCAATCAGGTGTTTTCGGTTCTACGTCACGTTTGCCGATTAGTCGATCTGGCAGCAGCACAATGCATCGAGAACTGAGTTCTGACTCGTCAGCCACTGACACCACATCCGGCAGCACCGGAACAATTAAGAAGCTGTAAACACACTTTGGTACAATCTAACAGGCACTCCGACACCGATGGAACATATGTGTGCAAACGTAAACACCAACACCCACCAGGAGTTTTTCACACTGCAAAGTATTTACGTATTTATCAACAAGCCCCTTTCCATGTCCACATCACGATAATTCCGATCAAATATTTATTTTAACTCTATCATTTAATTGTAAACAGCTGTCGAGAGCGAGTGTATGCAATTGAAGTTTGAACTTAGATTTGTTTTGATGTTGATTAGCGACAATCAGAATGATTACTTTTATAAAGTTGTAAACATAACATACAGGCAAACAAGTACACAATCGTACACGTGTACTTAGCAGGATGCGAATAAATTAACTCGTGATGAGATTTTTTATACCTAACAAAATGTACATGACTTTGGTGTAATTATTGAGAAATGCTGGGAGACCTGTTTGGATTGGGGGTAGGCATCGATGCCTCTCGTTTTGGAGATTGAAATCATTTCCACGGAAATGTTCCGAATGACCTAAAATAGCAGTCGATTACTAACCTAAAAAAAAGGAGACCTTTCAACATACCTCGACCCAAGCTTCTTTATTTAGAACGAAAACCTTAATTTATCGACCTTTCGTAAGATATGCCGGTGATAAGAAAAGGGTGTATTCGATTAAAAAAAAGCACACACATAAACAGCTGTAACTTTTTAAATCTTATACCAAATTACTTGAAATTTTCCATAACGTACACATTTAATTTATATGAACGTCTGAGTCTGTCGTCTAAAAAAGCTTGTACAGTATTTTCGCAAGCTATCATAAACTGCTTGTGCTAAAACTTTTCCTGTTCCAGACTCAATAAACGAACTATTGATTGTTTGTTCAAAGGAATCCTCTCCCGTAACCACAACGGCTAACTTCTGAATCTTCTTCCGATTAAATATTAATTGCTTGGAGTCGAAGTGCACCGTTAAAGCTTTGTCTTTCGGTAACTGTTCTTGAATTCTGTTGGCATTTTCTTCGCGTGCCTTGAGAATGAAAGAAGAAATGTAAAATTTATTTTGAAAATCTAAGATCAGATAATTTACCGCTTTACGTTTTCGTTGAAGAGTTGATTTACTAAAACTCAACATGTCGACATCAAATCCAAATGCGACAGCCAGTCCGATCTATATTCTTCTCGACAGCATTTGTCATAAGGCTTCTCCTCTTACTTCGACGCAGCTCCACTTTTTCTTCTTCCACAATTGGTTCTCGTATCATTTTCCTCCGCCGTAGACTGCTCTTCGGTTTTTTTTTTGGTCAATTTTTCTTGATTTCTTCTCGTTACACTGCTCGCATATCAATGGTACACTGCTTGAGAAGCTTTTCGGAAACTCAACGGGAACTTTGTTTGTCACCTGCTGGCTCCAGAATTATGCACGGACAGTATCGTTTCGTAGTTCTTCATCGAAGTGGTTCACGCTTATGTTGAAGAAATAACTCAACCACATCCTACACATCTTAAAAGCTGGCAATAGCACCGATTTTTTCTTCTTGAAGGCCTTACTATGACGTTGCCATGTCACAACAAGCTTGGCAACCCTCCTAAGAACGTTCCGCTTTAGCTTGTGCGAAAGTGCGGCTTGATTCCAAATCTCCACAGCTTCGGTAGCCACAACTTGAATGCTCCGGTTGAAAGTTATTAGGTTTCATGTTTGAATCCAAAGTTCCTGACGGCAAACGGTTTCTGGACTTGACATCGGACTTGAGCTTGGTTTTTGGTGACATGATTTTCTTTTTGGGTTCTGCTTGCTACGGCAATCAAATGGAAATTAATAAATTTTGCGATCCCTCTACGCTTATATATCTTCCTATTAAATTCTAGAAACTTCGAAACAAATGTTATCAAGTGATTTTCAACAAAGTAGGTGATTTGTATTGAACGATTTCAATGATAGTTTGATTTGCTGGTGGACATACTGCAAGAATTGAAATTCTGAATTCCACAGTAAATCACAAATAACTTTTTAACGGCTCAAAATGGGGTTAAAGTGTTTTCGGAAAAGTTTTTTTTTCCATAAAATTTCCCATCTTTCTTTCTGTTGCATTTGATTTATAATAGCGCTATGTTTTATACCCACTTTTGATGTTTAAATTCAGTGATGTACCAAAAAAAAAACATCATTTTAGTGAATTTGAAAAATTGTAACTAACAAATTGGACACATAGGGGAAATGACGGCTTCGGCATGACAGACTATTTTCGGCAACCCAAATTGAAACACTATTTTCACTGGATTTTCTTACGAAAACACTTCGCTGAATGCATGCAAACGATTCTTTATGCTTTCAGCTTCAATTTGACTATATTTTTACCACTGAGAAAAAGCAATCTAGCAAGGTTTTCTTGAAATGAAACACGCGCACTACAAATTGTAGCTGATTTCGAGTTGCCGATAATATAACAGCAGATTTACATGCAGTTCAAATGGAACGGTTGCCGAAGAAAAACTGGTTGCCGACAATACTCGCTCTCACTAGAGAAGATTGGAGCTTTGTAAAAGCGTTTCAAAACAGTTTTTGACAATTCTTTCGACTGAAATAGTTAGAGCAGCTGGCAGCAAAAGATTGTAAACAAACCAATACTGCATATGTGTGCGTTCCATAGAGAAAAAGGCTATAGAAAGAAGGTCGCTGCTTAGGTTGCCGAGAATACGTAAATTCCCCTATGTTGCAATTTTTTCTTTAAGTTTTGACCCTTGGGAATCTGCAAAAAATATAAAAGGGTGAGGTTTCACTAAAATTTAAAGAACTAAAAATATTTATTGAATAATAGCTATGAAAAATGGACTTTTTTAAAAATTTCGTCCGGGAGGTCGCGCCTACATTTCCCAAAGTTTCCGCCACACAAAAATTTGTTTGTTACACCCTTAGGCGCATTTGGAGGGTGCGCCCCCAGATTTTCAGACATAGTGCAAAGAGATGAACCAGCCTCTGGCTGAAAGTCTCGCTAATAAAGATAACCTAACCTAACCTAACACAGTGCAATTTTGGAATAATTTACACACACATTAGAAATAACTTCTTTCACGCCAGACGAAACCAGAACGACACTACCGTTCATACTGGCGACAAAGTTCTGATGAGACAACGAAACCCCAACCCAAGCTCTTCCCCTTATTATATCCATGGACAATGTACCCCTCTCACCTCGGGAGTATTTGGCCCTAGAAATAAGTGAATTTTGTTTCAAAAACTGATCAATGAACTATCGGTTCACGCATTTAACAAAACAATTGTGAAATGAGCGTGAGAAAATTTACAAAAATATATTTTCAGTGCAGACTACGTCAACGATGCGGTCGTGTATTGCTCACAATCCCACCATTTTTAACGTAGGATTACGTCTTTCGGCAACATATTGGGGGTGCAATTTCAAAAACCAAAATCGACCACGTCAGGTTTTGACCACTTATAACTCAGTCAATAGTGGATGGATATTAATTATAAACAAGCCAATCTATTTTGAATGTCATCTACAAAATGAACATTTTATCAATTTTCAAAACGAAACCATATTGTGCAACTTTTGCTATAATAATTTAAAGCTATCACCGATTGACTGCGAAAAGCGCTTTTCCTAACACAGATACATACAGCTCGCCAACCTCATCTGTGTTGAAAACCTTAATAGCTCAGCAATGCTGAGTCAGCATTACTCAACCATCACGACAAAACGGTGCTTTTCAGAACCACCATAAATTTGTTAAAGAGTATTTTCTGGACACTTCTCGCGTTATCTTTCAAATAGACCAATCTACATTGATCGATTCTCTTCATCGACTCTCTCTTCCGTTAATAACTCGGCTTCAAAAACATGTTCATCTGTTATTATCGTCTAATACGATATTTTATGTTAATAGACTATTAGAAAAATTAGCCCGAAATATGAATGCAGCCAAGTTATTAATGGAAGAGAGTCGATGAAGAGAATCGATCAATGTAGATTGGTCTATTTGAGAAGTCACGCGAGACTTTTCAAGGTCATTAATCGGATGTCAGTTCCCATAAGTATAAATCTAAAAACCATGTATTTTTAAGGCAGTATTGGGGGTGCAATTTCAAAAACCAAAGTCGGTTACGGCATGAAAGTGATCTGATTTTGATCCAGAGATTATGGATTTTAATTTTTAATACGCCAATCGATATGAATTTTGTCTACGCTTCTGTTAAAATTAAGACTATCAATTTCCAAAAGGTCTCTGTTGAAAATTACACGAATGATGAAATTATCACCGATTGCCGACAGAGTACACTGAAGACTTTTTTTTACACGGTTTTTTTTACGACGATTTTCGAAATAACGCGGTTTTTTTTACACGGTTTTTTTTTAAATAACGCGGTTTTTTTTTACACGGTTTTTTTAAATAACGCGGTTAAAGAGCCAAAACATTCTAAGTGTTTTCTGAGGAAAGGACTTAGCCAAAAAAACAAACTTGGAAGTGTACTTCGAGTGGATTCACCGGACAACATGGGTACATACATATTTTCGGAACGGGAACTACGCGTAGAGGCCGGAAATCGATGATTCATGCCATTTTGGAATCCAAGTCAAGTTTATGCATCCAATACAGCAAACAATATATTTTAATATTACATCCAAATGGATGCACTTCAATCATGTCGAAAATCTCAGGTAATTTTTATTTCCACAACAATAAACAAATGCAGCAAAAGCAGCGTAATGTCAGGTCATACACTGTATTAATCATAAGTTTGTCCTTTTTGTCAAGTAATATTACACCATATTTTCAACACGACTGAAGTGCATCAACTTTGATGTGATATTAAAATTATTTTTTGCTGTGTAGACAGTGTGCATTTTGCATAAAATCCCAAGTTTTAACTTGACAGCACGACCAGAGAGCAGGTTTATGTATTCAGTGAAGTTATTCGGTCTCTTAGTTCAGATTTCACTCACCATGCAGCTCTAGTAACATTTGATTCAAAAGGCTTGCTTAAGCAGTCTACATTCACTGAAAACGAATCTTATTCAAAGATTGAGTCATTTTTAATTATGTTACTGATGCGCTGAGTTACCAACACTGAAATGTATCCTTACGAATGAGCAAAAGTTACTCACTTTCTGAGTTAGTTTCGTTTTCTGTGTTTCGACTAGGAGATTGCTTTCTCTAGAAATGTTATTCAGATGGATAAGACATATTGTATACTGGACACAGGGTGACCAGTGAACTGGGAAATCGAAAAAAAAGCCGGATATTCTAAATCACCGGTAGAAGTCCGTGAATTTCGATGATGAAACGGGAAAAATATACTTCGTCCTCTCTTTGGAAAATAATAATCTTCTCAACTACT